GAGACCGTCAACAAGGCGAACAAGACAAGGACGTGCACACCTACATCGCACACCGTCAGTCCGTAAATACATGGCTCAATCTCCGTTTGCCATGCTCTGAACCAAGCAGCCGTGGTTAGGATGGCTGCTACCGTCGATTGTCGTGGATGTTGCATAGTCGATCGTCAATAATCGTAACACTATTGCACTGCCAACCCTACCCCAGTACCAAATCCGCCTGCTCCGTTTTCATGATAACATCATCCCAACCAAGCCCCCCTAGACAATATGAACACCCCTCGCGCTTGTCCCATCCTCTCAAGCCGGCACCTAACAGAACAAACCAAGAGTCCCCGCAATGCCTCTTTTCGCCGACCTTCCCCATGTCCAATATCGACAATGACCTTCTTCCTCTCCCAATAAAACTCGCATGTTTTGCTGTCACTTTGAAACCTTTCTCTAATAGAATTTCTCCGCAGGCTGGGATGGGAGGCGGTTTGCATGGCCCATTGAGAGACAAACCGCCCCCCCAAAAATAGTGGTCGCAGCTTAGCCGTCACCAGCAAGTACACAATGCCTGCCGGTATCAGTGTGCCTAAAACTCGGTAAAGAGGTGGCCATATCTGCGTAATCCAATTAGTCGTCATCCTCAATGGGAAGGGGAATGAAGTGGGGGGAAAAAAGAACAAAAAAAAAAAAGCTTACTCGTCATGTCCCGTGGCCCCGTACTTTTCCGTCTCCTCGGGGTACCTGTCGAACTGGCTCGCGTCGCCAGTACCTCCCTTCACAGGCGGGCTATACGGCGCGTCGATGTCCTTCCTCGCTAGCCTCTCCCAAGTCACCTCGGCAAACCAAGGGTGGTTCTTGACATCGGCCGGCCCGTTGTAAAGGTTCCCCAGCCGCTTTGTAAGGTCGGGCGTGATCAACTTCTCCAAGAGGTCCTTCGCCGTCGGGTCCATGTATTGCGGGTATTTCACCTTGCCGCGTAGGATCTTTTCGTAGATCTTCATCTGCGAACCGCTGTCCCAGAACGGCGTGTAACCGCAAAGCATCTCGTACACCAGAATTCCGAGAGACCACCTGCACCCAAGGTGAGTCAGCAACTCCGTTTCACCCACTTATCCAGTTCCACGTAGCAATAAAAGCGAGAGAAACAAAATGCTTTTGACGTACCAGTCCACTGATTTGTTGTAGCCCTTGTTAGAGACGACTTCAGGCGCTAGGTAGTCAGGAGTCCCACAAAGCGTCCATGTCTTATCTGGCACCTTCTTTGCAAAGCCGAAATCTGTAATCTTAAGGTGCCCGTGTCGATCCAGGAGCAGGTTCTCGGGCTTGAGATCGCGGTATATGATGTCCTTAGAGTGCAGGTACTCGAGGGCGAGCGTTACTTCGGCGGCGTAAAACTTGGCAACCGGGTTGGGGAATCGCTAGAAGCACCCGTAATTAGCCCGGTCCAATTTTAGATTGCACTCCCGGCCCTCTTTGGAATGGACAAAGTCGGGGAACAGAAAAGACCACGGGGAGAGTTCACGTACGCCGGACTTCCTCAACAGCGAGAACAGCTCGCCACCTTCGACGAAATCCATCACCATGTACAAATTCTTGGCATCCTGAAACGTTCCCCATAGCGTGATGAGGAAGGGGTGTTTCACTTCGCCCAGCATTCGTCGTTCGTCGTTGGTGTGCTCGACCTGCTTCATGCTAACCACCTGTGCCTTCTTAAGCACTTTGATCGCATAGAACCGCTGGTTATGCTTCGACTGAACCAGGTGCACTCTGCCGAAACTACCGGTGCCGAGCGTCCTGAGCAAGTCGAAGTCCTGCAGGCTGTATTTGCCTTTGGTTTGCCGCGAAACCGAAGGCTGCGACTGATGGGAGAGATGGTACGGTCGCTGGGATTGCGCTGTCTGTTGGTTGTGGTTATTGTGATGCTGTTGCTGTTGCTGTTGCTGTTGCTGCTGCTGCTGCTGGTGTGGCTGGTTCATCATGTCTTGCTGCTGCTCTTGCAACAGCCGTTCAGGGTCGGTTCCCGGACTAGCAGATGGCGGGGTATTGTGTGAAGTCGGTTGTGTCAGATGCGAATTGGAGAACAAGGTCGGGCTGTCGTGCTGGGGCTGGTGTATGAGGTTGTTGATTGTTGGGAGACCTTGTTGAGGCTCGGATGGCGTAAGCCCATGGGCTGTTTTGACGTGCTGGTCCTGATGCGGGTAATTCTGTGGGTGGGACGTGACAGGATTCATTCCGAAGCATGGATTGGCATCAAAGGGCTTGTCGGCCGGGGGTGGCTGCAACGGTGGGGACTGATAGGCGCTGAAGGAGGCTTCGCTGCCGGCGGTGGTCTGGGCAGCAGGGGGAGAGGATGAAGTCGCTGGAGCTGGAGCTGGAGCTGGAGGAGCAGCGGTGGTAGTAGCGGGCGTCACGGGTCTGTTGGGTTGGCTGGAGGCGGCTTGGGAGGCGTCCTGTGAGTTTGAGTTGTTGTCCTTTGTCCGCTTCTTCTTCAGCAAGCCCGAAAGATAGAGCGAAGGCATAGATAGCGAAGGAGGGGAACGAAGCGATGCACGCCCCTCAACAATCACTGGGAGAAATACAAGCACCGGCGTTCCCTAAGCCTGGAAGAAATAGTAGCGATCGCGAGTCGCTGGTTCCCGTTGCTGGTCGCAAGGAGAGGCGAGGGGCTCTGTGGCAGTGCGGTTGAACAGGGCGTGGCTCATACGCTCGTACGGAGTCCTCGTGGAGTTTGCGTTGGCTAGCGGGTAAGAGGGTGGGGAAGGGCGGAGGTGGTACCGTTGGAGGGTTTGGGATTGAGCTGAAAGAGAGGAGCTGAGGGGAGGACGGTGGTGGGGAATAGAGTTGTACGGCCGTCGTACGAAATACGGAAATTGAAGCAATTGAATTTACCGAGGCGACCGTGAATAACTTCTGCCGGAGCTCGGTAACGTAGATTCAACGTAGACGGTATATCCAACGCGTATGTGGTCCTGGTCTATTCGTATTGTTCACTGAACTTCTTGAATTGGTACTCAGCTCATCCAATTCGGAGCTCGAGTGTGATGTGGTATTTACCTTGAGGAACAGTGAGCTGAAACTTAAAATGTGAGAAAAATAGATCTGCGGCCGGCCTGTATTCGACGGGAATATGGTTCTGATAGCAGCCGGTGGTCCCTGTTCAGTTTCGTTGGCTTGATGGCCGTATGGTCCGTGATGTCGGTAGATGCGATGCCGTTGACAAGTCGCGGATGTTACAGCATGGGGTAGATAGGATGTAGTTAATACAAGCTGAGGCCGGACGGAAGGCCAGAATCTGTAGACGGAAATCTGAAGATATTGAACGGAGTGGTCAGAAAAAAAGAAGAGTTTAAAAATGGAAGCTGGTATGTATGGTATACGAAGAGGAGAAGCGCAGGGGAATAGCAACAGGAAAGTGGGAAATAGCTTTCAATTAGTGCTGCTTGGGATTAAGACTTGAGGTGGGCAGAGAGAGGTACCTCCACGTCAAGAAGGACGGTAGTGGAGAAAGGGTGGGAAAAGCGAGAATTATCGGTGACGGCCAAGGAAAGCGATAATTATTCAACAACCACCATCTAAACAGGATACCATCTTACCTGTAGGAAGGACACAATTGAACCAGGTAGAAGAGGACTAAAATATAACAGAGCGAGGTGACGATTCAGCCAAGGTCTTCAGCTGAGATGTTGCAAATCTTTTGACTGGTTATGGGGCCAAAGCCCTCAGTCAACCATGCAATACCATACGACGTAGTAGTTACCTAACCACGGATACGGAATAATACTTACATATACGGAGAGGTATATACCAAATTACATGCCCCAAGGCGGAATACGAATACTTGCGGAGGCTATTACGTCTCACTCTGTCGGTAGAAACTCCGTACGTACGCTGGAGCTGTGGAAGGATCCGCAGGCCCTCACTTCTCCAAGCTCTCTAAGAACAATAGCCTCTCCACCGCGTTCAGAGCCGGAACGCCGGGAAGACAGCACGCTGAAGTACCACTTAATGAGCACGTCATCCCCCCGCTGGGGTAGGTCCGTCAGCAATCGGTGGCTTCCGTCATCCACCCGCCAGAAGCAACCGCGTCGATCCTTGCTATGAAAGTATCCTAAAGTCTGGTGCTCCTTACTCTGCTGTTACGGTGTCTGAGCATCACGATCGTCAGATCGGTAGTTATCCCCTCTTCCCATTTCTGGCAGTCCAATTTTCTCCCCTATTCAATGTACGAGTTTCAATGTAAAGGTCTTCTTCCTATTTTTTTTTTCCAAGACTTCTTCATGTTAAAAAAAACAGAGTTACACATTTACCCATAGGTATCCTGAGTTGTGTTGATCGCGCCTAGCACCAGGCCACAGCTTTTTTACCGGCTTCGGCGCCCTCTCTGCTCCCTTCAAATAACTTCCTGAACTGCAGACTATCCCGAGTCACAACACCAAACGGAGATAAGTGACAACCTGGAGTCTCGAGGCATGGTTCGAATGCCAGTTTCCTTTCTCGCCGGGTGCGAATATTGTGGGGAAAAGGAAACCGAGTCATTTGAATCCCCCTTACTGCCGGGAGCGGTCTACCACGGGCTTGTCGGGGGCAAAGAGTCCGTTTGTGCCAAATGCCTACATTGAGAATCACGAATACATGCAACTATTGCAACTCAAGCTCACATACCCTTGCGGGCTTGATTTCTCTCTTGACATTCTTTGGCTACGAATCTTTCTACCAGTCACTCTGGTTCAGCGTCCCAAACTCGCTCTGCATCTAACATGGGACCGCATCTCCTGCCACTTCCGTCAAGAGAGGCTGCGGGATAATGGTTTAGGAAACCCAATGGACAAGGACGGCGAACTTCGGATAATTCGACAGATACTACAAAGCAAGAAATATGTTCTGTTTCTTTTTTTTTTCTTTCTTTTTTCGAGGCATGACATGTGCATGGTTACTCGTCCTCTGCTGAGCCGTATCCCCTCCTTCGCCCGCCTCACATCTCGCAACGAGACGCAGCACCGCATGACGCCTCCCCAATCTTCGGTCTTTTGTTTGGCGATTTAAAAGCGGTGGCGCTTCTCGTTCTTCGCGCGCCACGCAGTATAACCAACATAAGCACCGCCGACGGCCAGGAAGAAGAGGACGGTCTTCATGAGGAACCAGCTCCAGCTCCCGCCCTCCCTCTTAGGCTTGGAAATCTTCCGGTCCTTGTTGTTCGAAGTAGACGACGAAGACGACGAAGACGAGGGGCCCTTGTTCTTGCTAGGCGCCGTGTAGAGATTCCTGGCCTGGATGGAAATAATGTCATGGTTATCGTGGAGCTCGCCCGTCTCCGCAGTGAAGCCCAGGTAAGAGATGGACGGCAGGGAGGGGGGCTCCCGCGTCTCGAAGCAGAGCTGCCAGCTCCCCTCCGTCTTGTACTGCAGCTCGAGTTTCAGGAGCTTGTCCTGGAAGTAGGTCAGTTTGAACTTGGTCGGGATGGTGGGGTTGCGGAGGCCGCGCGCCGAACAGCCCGCCAGCTCGTTCGCCTTGCCGTCGTTGTTCTTGTCGTAGGCCGTCTCGCCGTCGCCGACCATGGCCATGACGTAAGGGAAGACCACGCCGGGCCGGTTGTTCTTGTACGTGTCGAAGAAGATGCCGAGGCCCTCGAACTTGTCCACGCCCCCGAAGACGGGCCCGACCTGGCCGCGGTTCTTCGTCACCCAGAAGGCGAACCCGTCGCCGTAGAGCTGACCCTTGCCGCTGATCTTGAACTCGACCTCAATTTCCCAGTTCGTTGCTGTCAGGGGGACCCTCGAGAAGAGCCATCCGGTTTGCGATTGGCGGTCTGATGTCAGTCGCATGTACCTGTTGTTCGCACGTTCCGGTGTTAGTCTTTTTCCTCGATTCCCGCCGGAGTTATCTTTGCCAATGGTAATGGTGGACGTACGAGTCTGTTCGAACAATTGTGTCTCCACCAAAGTCGTACCATCGGCTCTGCATGTCCGAATCGAGATACGGCTGTTGGGATGTTTAGTTAGGATGATGAAAACTCATTGCATGTCTCGATAGGGAGTTCACACCTGTTGCAAGGAATGCGTCCGCAGCTACAGAACAATAAAGTTAGTGCACAAATCCAATTGCGCAGGCTCGCATGTTTGGAGAAAAAACGAACCGCAATACTCCTGATCTCTCCATCATCTTCCGAGGTGATCTGACCCTGGACCAAGGCGGCCAGTCCCAGGGCTGACACGAGGGACTTCAGCCACATGGTCGCCAGTAGGGAGGGTGATAATACAAGAAGAGTCAAAGGCTAGGCGCAAAGAAACGAAGATGCGTGTAAAGAGGAAGAGCAGAAAGGAGATGCGCCAAGTGTGTAAGCTGCCCTAGTCCAGCACGCGACTCGTCCTTCCACAATGGATGTGTTAGCGTTCGGGTTTCGGTACAGACGAGTTGAGCCTCTCTCGTAGCTGAAGTGTCCTCTTTCGTTCTGCCTCGTGGTACGTTACAAGGTACCCCGTACGTACTGGTGGGAAAGCTCACCCCCTGTTCTAGCCCCACTGACGTCGTCGGGTCGTCGGGTGTCACAGGCTGTTGGAAGTGTGGCGCACAACGTTCAAGCCACAATGAATGCAGACTTGGTATCAAGCTCTTTTACCCTTTTACTCCGATTGCATTCACCTGCTCACACATCCACGAAAGCCCGAGACATCCCATTCATCGATTGCATCTATTACCTCTGCCCACCACTTCTCTCAACATGGATTCCAATTCGGTCAAGCAGGCGCTCATGAAGCAGGTCCTGCAGGAGGCTAACATAGCGAATGCGCGTGTCCTCATCGAGGTATGCACATGATTTCCGGCATCATTCTCCCCACGGGTGCATGGGTCGCCTTGACATTGGATGATATACTGACTATAATTCTGGAACAGAAACTCCAAGAAAACTGTTTCGAGAAGTGTGTTCCTAAGCCCGGCGCCTCCTTGTCCAGCAGCGAGACGACTTGCATGACCTCATGCATCGAGAAGTACATGGCCGCATGGAACCAAGTCAACTCCGCCTACATTGCGAGAATACGGCAAGAGTCTAACAACCAGAAGAATCTTTCTTAATATCAAAACTGGACAAGTAAAGACAGGAAAGGACACACTAATACCGGCGCGCAAACTGTACAACCACCGACACAAACCACCTGTATCTTTATTTTGGAGGCGGCAAGAACCGGAAGCTTCGGCCGTGAAAATGAATGGCAGGCAAAATGGTCGCGCACCCTGGACTCCTCGTGTGCTAGGAGCTTTGGTATATCAGGGTCACCTAAGGACAGTACGACGACGGGAAGCAGCACACGAGGATAGGGTGGGCGCAATCTGTATTATACAAAGGGTGCATGGTACACAGCCTTTTCATTGGGGTATCAAAACATAGACTACTCTGCCAGTCCTTTTTTCTTCGCCTCCTCCGCCTCCCGTTTCCGCGCAAGGTATCTTTCCCTTGCGCTCGAGATGTCGCACTCGGTTTTCCTAGACTTGGCCACCCTCTCGAGCTTTTCGCGCTCCTGTTCTTCCTCTTCGCGCGTCCGCTTGAGTGCCGCCTCAAGCTGTTGCTCGAGCATCCGGGTCTGCCTCTCACGCATGGCCCCCTTACCGCCCGCACCGACGAACCCGGCCCGCGGGCCGTTATCTCGGCTTTCTTGTCGCGGCCGACTCGCTTCCTTCTTGGCCTGGGCCTGTTTTCTGGCGGTCACGTTGAGACCCCCGCCGAGTAGCTGCCGCTTGTCGACGACCTGACCATCCTCGTTGATCGCGACGGAGCCACCGTGTTCGATGATCTCCTTGGCGCGTTCCACGTCGGTGATCTCTTTCTCAGATCCTTCTGGCTCGTTGTCGTCCTGTGCGGGACCGCTCTTGACCTTTTCCTCGGCGGCCTTCATGACTGCCCGATGTGTTTCGTCGTGTCGATCCAACAGCCCCTTATAGAAGGCGTTCATGCCGCCCGTCTTGTTCTTGCGTGCCTCCTCTTCCTCCCTCCTCTTCTCCTCTTCCTCTATCCTCCGGTTCTCCTCTTGCTGTCTCTTGTACGCTTCGGTCACGAACTTCTCTTTCTCCGCGTATTCTTCGCCTTCTGCTTCCCTCTCCCGCGCAATCTTCTTCTCCTCGGCGATCAGCGCATCCCGCTTCCGCACAGCCGCCGCCGCTAGAAGACTGCTCATGTACTTCGGCTTACGTTCCCCCTCCTCTTCTGCCGTTGACTTCTTTTTCTGCGGTTTGAACGTGTCGTAGACTTTATCATAGTCGTATATGCTTGGATCGAGATCTTCCGCGGCTTCCGCATGCTTGCGCGACGCCAGGCTACTGGACAGATCACCGAACATGGCGCTCTCGGGCTGTTTCTTGGATTTGAGAGCAGTAGGCGGTTCTGCGGGTGGCGCGTTCTTTTTCTTTGGTTTCCTTGCGCCCGTCTCTTCGATGGACGAGGAGCTGAGGTCGAAGCCACTCAGCTCCCCGATCGCCTGGGCTCGGCCCGTATTCGGCTGAGAAGCGTCTTCATTGTCGGAGCCATCATCGAGGCCGCCGAGCAGCGGTTTCCTTTTCGCCGGGGCTGGCTTGGATGCGCCGGGCTTTTTGGTGAGATTGAGTCCAAATGACAACCCTGACTTGCTCATTTTTGGTTGTGCTAACGTTACTGAAGTTGGAGAGACCTCGAACGTGACGACAAAGAAAGCGCCAAGTTCCCAAGGCATGGGTGATGTGGCGTTGGAGCATCAGCCACGAAAAGAGGTCAGTTGTGGCTGGTGACCTGTTCTCTGAACTGTCACGTAAGTATACCTAAGGTACAGTCAAATTAGCCAAAAGGGCACCGACGCTATTATGTAAAGTGCTTCGGTCCTTTTATTAGGCTACTGTAGGTACCGGGGCCTTGGATGCTCAACGCGGCAACATCTCATCTTCAACCAGGTGCTTCTCAAGCTCCATGACCGCCTCGACGCTCCTGTTCGACGGCACCAAGCCGTCACGGCTTTCGCGCGATTTTACGCTTCAAGGCGACATTTTATTTCAGCTGAGCGCCAAGTCTCGAGGGCCTCCTGGCGATTCTTCTTTGAGAAGACCACACCTGAAGTCTGAGCGTAGCAGGCTGCAGGTGTGCCATGGCAAAAGGGAGGGCTTTGCGCCCCCATCGGTTTACATTCTATCGGTAGGGCTCTGTAGCCCGTACAGACACGTTTGCCCCGACAGCGGTGTTCCGCCTTAATCGTGATTCTGCGTGATTCTGTGCCGCTTACCCATTCGATCATGGGCTTGACGACACCCTCGCCTCGTTCAAACAGTAGGGAGCAGAATGTGATCCACTGACCTCCCACGACTTGGTCATCTTTTGCAAGAAATCGTCGTCGAGTTGCGTTGATTGGCCTCCTGTTATATTTCTTCGTTCAAACTATTATTCTTTCCACTAACTCTCGATCTCAGTCCAAACGCGAAACTGGGCTGGCGGGTGGGTATACGTAGCGGATGAGGAAACTGACAATAATGGATAGGGGGCTTTTGTTCCCCCTTAAAGAAAAGAAGATTCAACGGTGTTACGATACCATCAGCAAGATGCAGGTGCTACTGTCCGTCTCTTCCGCCACTGCCGGGCGTGCACCGTTGAATTGCACTTCCTGCGATTACACGGCCAACAGGAGCAGTCAGGATAGAACAGCAGCATGGTGGCATCGTCCCACGACTTCTACCTCATCCGGGATTGTTCCAACGGAGAATTTGTTTCATCTCAATGTTCTCGGTTCGTGGATATATTGCCTGTTTCGCGAGCCCGTGTTTGCATTCAGCCAACAATGTTGGGGCCCGAAGAGAGTATCCGCTTCACCTTGGCTGGCGGGTCGAGTGACAGTACGGAGCACGGATACTACGGATAGTTGTTCGATTCCCGGGGGCCGAGGCTTTCCGCACCTTCCCGGAGGGGTTCTACCATGGGCTTCAAGCCTACGGAAACAAGAAATAGGTAGTTAAGTTCCGAAAAGCAGTACATGTATCCGTACTCCGTACATATCGCACCATGCAGCTTCACACGGTAGTTACGGACACAGCATACCAGCACTGAACGGATAAGGTAGCCCTATCTACCTAGTCTAAGAGTGCTTTTCATTTTCCACCTCTTGCTAATATCAGGCATGCAGGCATATCGACCACCATAGCTTCGAAGTCTTTCGCACACGGACATCGGTTCACGGGACGGCCGGGGAGCGACTTAACCCGGTCGCACACCGCTTCATCCCAGAGGGCAAGTAACGTACGTACTGCAGCTTTGGCTTATGGTGTACGAAGGAAGAAACCCAGCGCTGCCTCTGGGGCTGTCATGTGTAAATGAGATATTGGCAACGAAGGTCAGTGACGTAAAGAAGGGATGGCTGGAATCACATTCCCAGGCGAGCCTTTGCTTAGGTATGGAAACTGACCTCGCCGTCCCTTTCTATTTCAACGCCTGGGGCACGTATGGCGAAAGCTGGGGTTTCTGGTTGAATGAAAGGTCCCCGTCTCTGGACGTTCTGGCTTGCTTATAGGGGTATGAATACATTTTGAGGCTTACCCCTACTCGCTCCCCTCAAACGAAAAAAAAAGAAGAAGAAAGAAACAATGAAAAAAAAGGGGGGAGAGAAGGGGGGGTGTCAGGCACTCGATATGTTAGGCATATCCGGGAAAGCAAAAAAGGAGCTCCCCGTTGAGGACTCAACCTGCGGCTTTGCTCCGGAAACCGAACCTCCACGATATCCTGTCCTACGTACGACAGAGGAAAAGGGCTATGCACGCGACACACGAAAGGAAGTCATCCTTCCGGGAGATTGGAATGCAATGCTTTGGAGGCGCTAGTCTTCAAGTTTTTACAATCCAAGGGTAAAAAAGAGAGAAGAATGGGAGCTTATTCGCTTGGCGGGTATGGCAGGGCGGACAGAGAGGAGCCGGTGTCCCCTCCCTTCCCGAGTAAGGGATGACGTACAGCATGCCAACACGTTTGCAATGCCGAACTACGGCATGTAAATGGCTGTGACCTGGAGGCTTACAGGAGGTTTGTCTGCGAAACATCGGCGCGAAACATCGGCCTCCACGTCGATAGCTCCCTTGCATCCCTTGGAACGGGGAAAGGTAAGTCGATGTTAAATGGGACACCTTCATTCGACAATTTCCTTTCTTGTGATATTGGCCACTGCATAATTACATAGTCTAACCATGGGACAATCTTCCCCAGCCTGCGAGTTTCCCTTGTACTTATCTTTATCGTCACTACTCGTCACTATCCCTCGCCTTGCAAAACCCCTCGCGGCCGACGTAACTACTTGCTTTGGATACTTCCCTTCACGCATGTTCTGTCTAAGACTCCACAACTCGGTCCCCTGCTTACACTTGGAGATAGATTGAATACTAAACCCGTGTGTCCGACAGGGCCACCGTTGCACCAGAAATGGCATCACCGGGAGGATACAGATGTACACGATTCGCAGAAGTTGTTCTGTTCATGCGGTCCGGAGTTTGGCCTTTCCCGACTTTTATCTATCATCTTCGCCCTACTTCCCTTTTGTGCGGTCGCGCGACCCAGGTGCTGTCAGAGCACACCCGATATATACGGCTGTTGGACACACATTGCATTGTGTACATAGTTTCTCGGTACATACGAAAGAACTCCCTATTATCACATTTTCGCCACTTTACTTTTGTCACTCCTTTTTGCCTTTCTTCAATCTGCCTTTATTGTGATTCATGCTTCTATTTACGATCCAGCCGTTATCCTGGCGTATTAAATCAATCAGCAAGCCTAAAAGTGCACCCATAAGCTGTTTTGGAAAGTTTTTTTTGGCTGTATGCCAACCGAGAGGCGGTCTTGAATCCGGCATTCCTTTCCTGGGCCGCGTCTGCCCCATGCTCACTGTCTACTTCAGACAACCGCTGTTACAAGTACATATCATACACCAACAAACTCCCCTCACCGACATCAAAGAATTCCGTGTCCACATTGCGTACGTGTTTGCCTGAACCAAAACCATTGGGCGTTGAGAAGACAAGTCAGGACCTCCCTATGAGTGACTGCAAAGTGACATACCACACCTGCGTAAGGTACATATGACTGGGGAAGCAACGCGCAAAGTACTTGGAACTGGAGTCGAGTGAACCGACGCTGCAGAGTCGACTGCGGAAAATTACGATCAGGCCACATCCGTTGTCGATACCTTGTACTCACTTTTGTTCTCCACGTTCGACATACGACTGTTCTATATGACCAAGAGCCAACTGAGAGAACCTCTACTATCCGGTCTAGTCGATGCTCCCGTCCTGGACCCTTGTCCGAGCCTCCAAGTCTCTGGCAGGCACTTGTTCAAGTGGCTCTGGCGCCAGGGGACGTCTTAAGTTCTCGGGTCATCCCTTGTCTTCGGCCAAAGTTGAACGTACTCGTGCGTACCCCGTACCTACTTCACCTTTAATCGGGTAGGTCATGGTTGCCTTAGTCGTAGCTTATCTAAATATCTAATTGGGAGAAACGCCCTAATGATGACGATGCATTAACGACAGACAACGAACAAATTTCAAGGCACCCGAGTCCTTCCAACCCCTGACGAGACTGAACCGCTTTGTCAAATCTAACCCTGCTTTCCGGGGGAGGCTGATACAGCCTTCTGGGTGTGGGTGTGGGTGTGCGTGGAAATTTTCCTTGCGGCAAACCTCGGACGAGTCCGCGAGGCTACCGGGGCTTTTTGGGGCCTTGCAGTGAAATGTGGAAATCCCCAACTGCATTAGTGTACCACGCACCGAATTCAATTCTATTTCCTACGGTTCCAAACGAGCATTTGCATTTCACGCAACGCGTGTACTGAGTTGAAGCCTCCATTTTTTTTAACCCCTGCCAAACACCTTTCCTTCCCTAGCTCTTCCTCTGCCTCGAAAGCATGTCGCTCGCTTAAAAATCACGTTTCAAGGAAGAAAACATTACTCCACGTTAGGGAAATATAACTGATTTTTTTGAATC